TACACTTAAGAGAAGGTTTTAGTATATTGATTAACCGACTTCAAAAATGAGGGGGCTTAATTCCGTTTTTTTAAACGTAGTATCTAAAAGAATTATTAAGAGTCTATTTACGAGTTGTACGTGTTACTTGACCAACGAGTCAATTTGAATGTATTCTAGCATGAATCTAAGTGCGCAGGTCATCAGTGTGTCCGCTGGCTGGCTTAAGTCTCCCTTTGTTCTACGAGCTGCCTAGTTTGACTGTGCCTTATCGAGTTCCTGCAGCAACTAACTCCAACATCCAATTAACCAACTAATTTGAACGCTCCACAATCCGTTTCATCGATTGCAAATGCCAACAGTTATTATTGTCCGAAAAATATGTTTCAATTGAGGTTTAATTTGGAAAAGACGCTACGAAGAGTTGTGTGTATCCGAAGCAGAACATAACGCAACAAACAAATAGTGTCAGTACCTACAATATACTTTCTGCTGACCTCATCACAATAATGAAAACGTTAAATTTAACTTCATAATTTTCATTCCCTTTAATACAATTTTCTGAGCAATTTACAGTTGTCATATTTATAAAAGCTAATTTAATTAAATTAACCCGTCATGATAACGCAAAGTTAGAATTCCATGTCAACAAGGGCCTGTGTCGGATGTGGGTAAACATTTAAGTAAACAGCCTATTAGATAGCTTTCTGATTGTCTTCCACAGTCATTAGACACCAACTGGCGGAGTTGTTACGAGCGCGTAAATTAGCACACACCATAAAATTCACATCAACTTATAGGAATTGTGAGCCGTCGCGTAAAACTGTACGTCAGAAGCAACAACACGAGATTATTACAAGCGATAAACGTTCATAGAAAAAGAATAAATACGACCTTCATCATAGAGCTTTATTACAATTCGGCGATAAAAATATATATTGAATGTTATCACTCATCAAACATGACATGTGATAAAATGTGTAGATAGCAGAAACAAGTTCAGGCTCTCTCCTCTAGATATGAAATGTTATAAAAGGGAAACACAACGAACTCGACGTGACTGCAACCTTTGTCCCGTGAGATTGCTATGAAATCGGTTTGGACTTATTCGCAGGAGACTCAAAATTGTAAATGTCGATCAAAACGAAAAACAAAGGAATAGAGGAACGAACGAGTCTCTTTGATTTGTCGAACAAGTTTTTTGAGAAGCAATATACGTTATAGTTCATTGGAAGTTCCCAACTACATCCAAAACCCGGGTATTGTGACGTATATTTGGGATGTTTGTATGAATATATGCGTACACTACCGACTTAAATATTACAAGCGTGTGATTATTGATTGAATAATAATAAACATCATAATCTACGATAATTTTAAAAGACATGAATTAACTACAACATATGTAAGGGATATTAGTACAAAAATGGTAATCAAGAAATTAAGAATATAGTGTAATAGCAATATGGTTGAAGTAGAGACGTGCGTGTCGAGGCAAGGCGTATATCCACAGGTCGCAAATCCAATCTAAGCGGAGTGCACATCAATGGATCTGATTATCGATTGGCGACCGGAAATGAGCGTGGCGAGTGACGGCCACTCCACTACTCCGCCGCACAACCAAGCTCAGAAGCGCCAAAGAGTTGTAATAATTTAACATTTTAGAAAGAAAACCCTTTACTAGTTGGAGAATTTCACATTTTGGTGGACCTCATTACAAATTAATTGTTTTAATGACAAAACAACTCTTTACAACACTACATAAAATATATATATATTAGTTTTGAAGAAAGTATAGAATCTGGAATAGTTAGTAATTCTATAAGCTTTAGGAACTCTTTAGGTAAAACTGGCGATGTAATATGTTACTTAACAAGTTACATGTTACAAATGTATACTTCGAAACACCTATAAATAAGGAAGTTACAGTCTGCCGTCATAGCGTCTTAGTGGTATTATCTATTACGTGTATATTTATCAATATTTTTGAGTCACATAGGTACTCCTAATTCTCGAGTTGTTACGTTTTGTCGCTCGTCTGTCGTCACTCTCACATGTGTCACACTTGTATTCAATTTCCTTAGTAAAATGTGTAACAAATGAGTCCCTCCACTTTACTGATGAATTTGCTATACGCACACCGACGCCATGTTTCGTGCGTCTGCGTCATTTACCGAGTTTATTTTTTTACCTATTTTGTATCACAATTTTATGCCTGTGTACAGACATGATTTGTCTCCAACATATCGAGGTGATGTAGTCTTATGTAATTTTCCTTATTATGTATAGTTCACCTTTCACAACAAGTCTCTGCATTGCTTGGTACTTGTCCAAATACAGTGTGTACATACATTTCGAGTTCTAAAATAATGTCGTTCATATTTTTTTTTATTTGGTCTGTTAATACCTCATACTCTGTCATTCCCTCTTACAATGAGGTAATGTTATTGCACATTAAACCTTCTGTCTTAACCTCTTTCATAAGATCGTTAGTACTGGCGCCGAGAGCCCGCTTCCTGCCAACTTAAAATGTTTACCGTATAACTACGTCTAATTTTAAAGGTACCTACGTATGTATATACCTATGTGGTTTCAGCTATTACTATCAGCTAACATTTTAAAGCATTAATTATTTAATTCCATATTGTCTCAGACAGGATAATAGTAACATTTATTCTAGTGAAATTTATTTTGTAGATATATTAAATAAATATTTATTATTCAGACGTTGCATTAGTACTACAAAACTAGTGATATATACCATTAATAGTTGCAATTTAGAATGTAACACAAAATATTTGTTTAAATAATCCGCTCGCGCTGAAAGTTGAACCAGTTTAATTTGTACAGTTAGTACAAATACACAAAATGAAAACATAGTAAACAGAATTAAATGCAAAACAATTCGTATTTTCTGCAACAGGATTATGAACAATGTTATATCAATTAGGTAATAAAATAAGCTTTCATCCCTAACAGATTAGCGCGGATCATCCGGCCTACAATATCGAGAGCGAGCACTAATTGAAATAACATTCCATTAGCCCAATATGCGTATGTACAGGGCACGTTTGTATAAATGCATTAAATTAATCAGCTTAGCAAAGTGCTATATACCATTAAGTCGAGTTACCTACCACATTCATCTCTGCATCCCCCAAAGGTCGTATGGTAGAAATGCCTAAGGTGGTAAATCAACTTATACACATATGCGAATTAAGTTTTAATAAAATGAAAACAATTTACCTAAAATAAAAGTTACAGACGAGAGAATAATTCTAGACTAGCTTCTACCAGCGGCTTCGCCCGAGTTCCCAGGCGTAAAAAGTAGCATATGTTACTCCAGACTATAATATACCATTATTCCAAACTTCATCCCGGTCCCTTCAGCCGTTTTGTTGTGACTGAGTAACAAATATACACATAAACTCACATATTTTTACATTTACAATATCGGTTTAAACTGTCAAACACCAAGCGGTCACCGGTGACCGCAACCTATTGTTCTTTAATTGTGTCTATAAATACGGTACTCGACGAGTTAAACTAAATTTCAACAATCGGTCCTTCAGTTACATCGTAAAGTCTGTCGTGAAAGACAGACAAAACTTATTTAATCATATTTTTGGATTTTGGCCTATCTAGTAACACCTTCTACAATTTTTTTTATATCAATGTACAGAATATACTGTACAGTTTTATTATATGTATAGAGATTATCACAGTACGCACTTAGATACTATTTTTTAAGGCTAAGCACTTGTCTCTCACTCGAAACATAAATTATACTTTGAAACAGTAGTCATTCTAAAATCACGAACTATGAGCTACGTATGAATTTATAGTAGAAGATTATTGTTCGCCACCTATTACAAAACATAAATAAAAGATTTCATGCATTTACATCGATATCATCGCTCGGGGAAAAATATTACATTAAACTGTATTGTTTGTTACTATCGATAGCTGGTCGATATATTTTACTAAGTATTGATCGGAAGGTCTTGAACGTACAGTAAATAAATAATGTGATAGTTAATGTACGATAGAGTGCAGTAAGAATTGACAGCGTGCAGTGTGCACTCAAAGGCACGGCGCAGGTGGGCACTGTAGCGTAGGACTCGCGTTGAGCTTGACCCATATTTTAAACCTATTGATCGCACCGCTTTCGCAAGGACCCTTCACACTAAGCAATTGCCAGCCATGTTTATCTGGCGCAGTTAAAGGTCTTCTTAAGGAAAAGTGCCGAGTTTCACTTCAACTTACTTCGGTTGCAAAGCACCCAATTTCGCTTTGTATGTGTTTTGAGGAAAATAACCATTGCTTTTGGACGTGTGTTGTTTCTTTTTTTTCCTCGTTTAATTTTTCTAACTTGTTACTCATGCGTATATCATGTTTTCCGAAAATTTTAATACGCCATATTAAAGAGGAAATACCTAGTTGAATGTAATTGGATAACTAATAAATATTATTGAAAAATTAATTTATTGACATACTAACGTCGTAGATATAGGTCATCATACATCGTGCATTGATATCGAATTTAATATTTGCTACAGTTATGTACGGCGAGAAATATCAAGTTCACAATTGCATATCCAGCAGCCTGCTTCAGATAAGTATGAAAATAACATTTAATATCGTGATATCAAAGGTAACTCGTGGGATATTAAATTCCGAACACGAGAAAATAACTTATTCCTCTGAATACTTCGAAATAAATATCTTCTAGAATAGAATTGTACTTCAATATTTTATTGTGAAACATAACATGTGTAAGTACTGTACAATATATCCAAGTCTTAGTGGAAGTAACTCGTACTCGGGTATTTTGCACCCACCGCTATGACGTCTACAAAACCGCAAATTCCAATAACTTATGTATCATTTACCTATGAATAATATATACCTATGTAAGCTGTTGTTTCCCGTTTCTCATTTCAGTATCAATTGACCAGCCCGGTGGGCGCACACTAACCGTGCTTCCTGTGTTTAAATAAAATAATATCCATGTAGTCAAAATGTCGGACGACATCGTGCAAACGACTGTTGACAACAACAATGTCATGGACTTGCTGACGACGCTGGCGACGCCGGCTGCAGACACACAGCTGAACGAAAGTGATACTACATTCCCAACGCCGAGTGACAGTGAAGATGCTGCCAATAACAGCGCCGTTTTTGGCGCAGAAAGTTTAGTGTACAGTGAATACTCAATATTTGGAACATTTGTTGTGATCGAACTTGTTATGACTACACTAGAATTATTTATATCAATCGTCGCAGCTATCAAGATGGAGAGGTGGAGGAAAAACTATAGAAATCAAATGTTAATGCAATTAACCGTTGCACGATTTATCAAGAGAATTATATTTACCTTTAAGTTTTTAGATTGTCGTGATAAATTAACAGATAGCGAGGCAGTCGCTAATTTTTTGTATTGTTTTCAACTTTACATTGATCTTGTGATAGTAGTATTAGTATTCTTTTTTATAAAACACATGTATAACAGTTTAATAATAGTGTTAGTTAAAATAAGCCAGAATAGTTTTTATAAAGTGATGTCCTATTCTTGGCTGATACCAATACCAATAGCCGTGGTGTGTACTGCCATTATCTTCACTGATTTAGTGGATAAATGGTACGTCAACTTGTTGATGTGCAGTGTGTTCAGATGGCCGCTGATATTCGTTGGGACGGGCGTCTACATCACTATTGTATACAGGGTGTTGTCCGACAAAATAAGACAGTTCGCCAGAAGCCTGGCCGTGGTTACGTTCTTGCTTTGCTTAACAATAAACGTATATTTATTCTCCAAAGACATAATGGAACTGTGGTGTTTGAAATCGCTAATGACATTGTTGATTGGTTACATTTCAGGGTTTTTAATGAATGTACTGATACTTGTCTTATACATAATTTTGTTGATATTAACTTATCAGAATAAGACACAGTCATCGAGATCATTACCTGACTATAGTTTAGCAGATGCGAACATGAAATGTTAGAGCATTCCTCTTTCCAATTTTGTGATTGGATTGTGAGTGAGTGACTTTAACAAGAATAATATTGTGTACCTTGATACTCTGTATAATACCTACTGTAAATAACTTGTACCTACTTATGAATAATATAATTTATTTAACACTGCACTTACATTGTTTCAATTTAATTGTTCCTTAAACTTCAATGGATGTAAAATATTAATGCATAGCACAGGAATATCATTTAATATATCTATCTTCAATACTTCTATTAAATCTGTAGAGAGGTTAATTCTCTATACATTAAATATATTTCCAAAATAACTATCAGTTCGTGATTCCGACTAGTACTTGCCTGGTTTATGGTTTTATAATAAACGAATAATCACATTTATAAATGATTTACGTCACACATCTATTATTTCTAATTACCGATCACTATTGTTTTCACAATACGTTTATGTTACACAATGAACCTATGTATTTATATACTGAATGTGTATGCGAGTATAACACGTACATACCTCTAATATGTATTTTAATATACATAAAGGGAACAAGGACCATTGTATGGTAGTTCTTACAAATGAATATCGATTTCAGAGCTTATAATGTGCGTTTTGTTACAACTTCTGTAAAACAATCTGTAGCTATGAAAAATAAGATATTCACACATAAATAACTCACGTGCAATTACATTATACTACTTTTCATCAAGGGTCAAACACACCTCGACAGATCAACAACAGAAGTATAAAATGTCATTAAAAGTGGTGTTGTAGGTATCTATGGGTTGATTTGTTAACTGGCGTTGATTGCTTACTATCACGCCGCATTGCATTTTAGCCGCGGTGTGTGCCTGCACGTCAAACTAACTTAACGTATCTTCAATAAACTTGAATCTACAAAACAATAAAGTTACAAATATATATAAGAAACCATTATAATCAGTACGTTGAATAAGTTAATCCCATTGCACAAACTCTGTACGTCGGGGAACGGGGGCGGCAACCTCACTCACAAGACAAAACAACGCAAGCGTTGTTTCACTATGGTTTTCTGTGAAGCCGTGGTATCACTCAGGTTGAGCCAGTCCATTCGAGCCGAAGCATGGCTCCCCAACACCACACCCATGCCTGACACTTAAAAAAAACATCACGGGGCAACTCTAGTAATTACCTTCTTGAGGAAAACTGACTTCAATAACTTTAATCATGCAGACTTTTTGAATGATGAAATACTTCATTACCTCTATATTAATGCAACTAAACTTATTTGTCAGCCTCATTAAAATGCAGCAAAAGTATTTTTCTGTAGGTTAAAAAAACTATCGGAATAATCGGAGACCCAGCATACTAATACCGTCTGTTATAAGGAGCAAAATCAATTATTAGAGCCAACTGTTGGTGCCAAAAGTCAATTAAAATGCCACTTAGTACCTTTAGTGTTAGCGGTTATATTACTTCGGCCAGCGTCCCAGGTCTTTACTTTCTATATCAAAATCTGTTTGAAGTCGACAAGTGTTCTAGACTGTTCGAACCACTTCACAATCATTAGTGGTCACTGTCCACAACCGCAAGTCGTTTCAATTAAATTAATCTCAAAATTGGTAGATTTTGGTACTTTATTGTGTAAAATTAAGAAATACTAATTAATTGAATTTGTATTAAATAATTTAAGTATTATTGGTAATAATTAAAATAATTGGAAAGAATTTTGCTGTTTTCTCGTCAATCTTAAAAAATATGAGAAAACTCAAAAACGTAAAATGAAGAAACACAAGGTAACATTAAAAAATAACTAATCATTTGTAGACCATAATCGCAGCTTTTTTAAAACTTTGTAGTAAACAAGTACAGCATTGTAAATTCTTGTTTAAATACAGATTGTATAAACCCCAATCCCCAGCCGCTTGCTGTATGTATGTACAAGATCATTGACCGTCTCCGCTACCTCCAACCTCCAATGTAATCCCTCCGTCGGAGGTAACGCATTAATTATGAGGAGTGCATCCACCAACTGCAAGTTTCCAAAACAGATAATAAAGAACTTCCATACACTAGATACGTAGAGTTCATTTCTTAAGTGGTTATATACATTCGGACGTAGTCGTAATCCAGAGTGGTTCCATGTATAGATAGATAATTTGCTTTTCGAAATCTTATTAATATTATAAATGAGTTTGTGAATTTGTGTTTGTGTGTATGTTTGGTACTCAATTTCGTCAAAACGGCTGAAGATATCGAGATGATATTTGAAGCAGGAGTAGATTGTGATCTGAAATAAAACATAAGCTACTTTTTATCCCACGGTATAGCCGGCCGATGCCGCTGGCAGAAGGTAGTTTGTATATAATATAATACGAAGTATGAAACTGTGTCCTGTGTATATGTATGGGTATATTAATTATGTCAGCGTACGGCGCGTCGCATAAGGCCAATAGGGATAATGCCGATACAAAGCCGCGGAGAACCTAACGAGTTACCGGGGCTCCGGATCGAAGTGCAGGAGTAGGAACGGGGTGGTTCTTAGTCAGTAAGAGTCTGACACTCCCTCCCGCATCACCCAGGCGGGAGAAGCCATTCGATGATTTTCCCCCCTTAAAAAAATATTAATTGTCAATAGACCCGGTGTCTTTAGTATTCGTTCATGGGCGACATGAATGAATGTGCTAAAGGTTAACATTTTCATTTCTACCATTTTTTAATAAACAATAGATAAATAAAACTTAATTGCAATAGATATAACACGCGTCCGTAATTTCCGGCGATATCGAAATAAATAATGAGTTCATACGCGTGTGTACTCACTACACATATAAATATTTTGAGTGTGAATCACGCTGAAAGATAAAAATGAATGTTAGGTGGTTACTCGTTTATCGTAAATAGATATTTATCTAAAAACCTTTACATAACGACACTCACTGTATCGTATACTAAGTCCTGTTGAGTGTTTGGATAAAAAGTGTATGAAAATCGATCGGATTGCAATCCGAGTCACATCGAGCTTACAAGTTAAGCTACAAAATCGTTGTCTTCTTGACATAGTGTGTGAGTGATTTGCCCAAATTACTGCATTTGAATAATGGTAAATTTATATTATGGTATAAGTAAACCGGTAAACGAGCAGGCGGATCACCTGATTGGAAGCAATCGACGTCGCCCATGGGCACTCTAAACACCAGGGGCGTTACAAGTGCGTTACAGGCCTTTTGAGGATTGTGGGGGATTCGGGGATTAGGAAGACTGAGGAGATAGGGTAATTGGGCCTCCGGTATCCTCACTCAGACGACGAAACACAACGCAAGCATTGTTTCACGTCCGCGTCGGTTTTCTGTGAGGCCGTGGTATCACTCCAGTCGAGTCGGCCCATTCGTGCCGAAGCATGGCTCACCCACACTTCCCATTCGTGCTACTGCTATTCTGTACTGTATGTATTCCTTTGTATGTGAAAAATTGTTTTTTTTACACAGGGTTATTATTATATGCAATCAAATAAAACTATCAGCCGAATAAAACTAGTACAAATTTAATTTAGGATCACAATAATAGAATACAAGTTGATTTAAATTTTTACAATATCACCACTAGTTAATTAAGGAGCAAGGTGTATGCAAACAAGGTTAAAGAGTTCCTTTTGAAATAAATGCATTTCGATATTAACCCCATAAAATGCAAATATTCTAATCTTAACAATCAGTATTCCCTCTAAAACCAATTAACAAACAGAACAGAGTGTTCGAGGTTGTGAATTAATCTTTCAGATGGATGTTGCATCGCCGACCTCCTCCTACCCTACCCTCACAATTACAACATGCACGTATGCACCTACACACACGTACCTAAGGTTAAAACTATTATTATACCTTACATATTGCATTCTCAAGACTACAGTCGATAAAAGAAATCCATTGGTACATCGAAACAGGAAACAAACCAACTATAAAATTTATAATTATTTAACAAACATTAAAATTTCCCATAAATACAACCTCTATGCAGCGACAGGTAATTAAAAACCATTATCGGAAGCTCATGGATTAACAACTTTATTTACAGAAATGTTAGAGACAAGCCATTATTATGTTAACTAAAAGGTTTCATTAACTGTAACTATATAATGGAGATTGACAAAATGGACGGAAAGAAGCGCTATGCGCTACAACGCGCGCTGCGCGTTCGCCGGTACGCCCCTAGTTGCCGCAGCTGCACGCGCAACGCTTCACGCGCTTTTCGCTGTTCACCAAAGCGTCTACGCTACGAACTGAGCGAGGCTGCAAATCTGTAAAACAATTTGTGATTAATTAATAGATTTTTTTGTTAAAAGCCACCTACTTAAACATAAATAGACTAGGGTGTAAGTAATTAATCATTTACGGTCCCATACCTCACGACCCATTCTCTTAATGCTCAAGTAAACAAATTAGGGTGAGAACGAGAACAAGACATGTAAAGATTTATCTAGGTCAATAAGCATGCCATACCTTCCTGCCCTTGGCCTTATCTTAACGAAGGTACAATGTACTGACCTACATTAATTACTAATTGTGAGGAATCAGTGAATGCAAGTACGACCCAATTTCCAGAAACCATCGTGCATCGACGTCAAGTATCTAGGTTACTTTATTACGCATTTGCTACGATTCCTCTGTCGTCACTTGTTGATTATCTTGACTCATTATGTGGGAAATACAATAAACAATATTGAATCCATTGGTTTGCGCCTACATTGGGTTAAATAACATTTAATACTAATTAATATTGTATGCTTGTTCGTATAGGTGTATCGTTGTGAAGTTCTTTTGATCTCGCTGTTCTATAATTACTCAAACAATGTTTGTTAACGAAGTTCACGACCGCAGCTCCCGACAAGGAGATTACACGGGATATTTTACTTAATAAACACGAACTGTGACAATATGCATTGCTCTGAATAATAAACAAACTTCAAATAAACCCAACAATAGATCGTGATTGATCTGTATTAGCATACACACGTCATAAAAGTTGAAATGAAATCTCTATGCATACGTCCTTCGATTCTATAATCCCAATATACATGTTGATGAGTTTGTGTTATTATGGAACAAGCATAACAATGTATTGTTTTGTTTTATAAAAGCCGCAGCCGTATGACCAATCCCTTTTTAGGGTTTCCTATTCGAAATTCTTCGTAGCACAATGTACAATCGTAGCAATATGTTTACATCTCAGTTTATAACAATAACAACGTTATAATTTTGTTTAATAAAACATGAATTGCAGAAACTCCAGCTACAAAAATGGTGTGAATTGTAACTTTTAAATTTCATCAAATGAACCCAATAATACACGTTACTTTGTGCTTTGTATTCGTTGAAATCTCGGAGTTTATTGGCACGAAAGTTAATTAATTATGCATGAATTGTTGTTGTTAAGCTTGTAGTGTCTCACTCACCTGAACTAAATACAAGTTGGTAAAGTTACAAAGCGACTGACTACCGACCGTTAGTTGTTACGACACGGGAACGACACGGGAACGACACTGATTTATTGGAACTCATGTGACTCAGGTGTTTTTGTGGTAGACAATGTGTCTATTCATTCATTGTGTTTGAGGAAACGGCGGGTGAATGATCACTATTATTCTACTAGTTGCCTAAGTGATTTTATTGCTTTTATAAATTGATATGTATTTGTTCAGTTTCTGTTACTTTAGAAAAGAATAAGAAAGTAAAATACATTCAAGACTTTGCATCTAACCTTTCTTGCTTCTTCATCAATAATGAACCGAGTTGAACTTTTAACAAGCTTAGAAAAATGTAAAGTTGAGTTTTCAACTCAACAGACAAACATATAGACATGTTTACAAGAGCAGACATCACCGCTGAGACGAGTTTAATTAATTACACTTGAAGCTTAAACTCTGCTCTTTACTCAAGTTATTTTTCTTTAAGTGGTGTCTTACCCCTAGCTCAGAGAATATTCTAAGTAAAATTGTAGAATTTAAGCCACATACGAATTTACTTATATGTGTAAGACGTAAGTCTCGCAATGGCATAAACGAAAAATTAAGATGTGTAGTAAGTAAATATGATATTTGTAATGTCATTGCTCCCATTAGTCGATAAGGACCTAGATGGAAGTAATATTAGACTTTTAATTTTGGAGTACACACAGTTAGTTTCTCAAATTATAGGCAATACTTTGGCCCCTATTTGGTAGGCACAATGTGACAGATAAAACAGACTAGTCAAAGATAAAATAACAAGCACTATTTCAATAGTTTAAGTAGGTAGGTATATTATGCTCTTTATCTCTCTGTGCTGAAAAGTTTTTAATTTTAATTACCCTTTTGTTACCTATCAATTTATTGCAGAGACAAAATATTAACTTGATATACCAACAATATGCGCCTGTCATATACTATGTACCTACACGTATGTAAATAATCGGCTTATGTGCGCGCGCCATATTGAAAATGAATATTTGCATTTATCTTCGGAACGCAAAATTCTTCGAATGCAGATTGAATTTCATTTTATAACAACATCAAAAGGATGTTTTCTACGAATTAATAACGCATTGGTTTTCACATTCGCTGTGTAGGCATGTGCCAGCTTAGCCTCACTGTACTGAAGTACACAGTTTCAAGTACCTATTTGTCGGAACCAATTGGGTCTGTTTCGCTTCCACGTACCCCATTATGTTTATAAATGTTCGTACAAATTCTGTTAACAGGTCCGTGGAAAGCGTCAAAGGATTATATGCCGTCTGTACCTGGAATTTTACTGCACGTTTCATACCAACTCGCAATGAAAACTAGGTCACCTAGATATTTTTGTTATTTAAAACAAAATAGCTTTGTAGATCCAATAAAATAGTTAAGTACCACAAGCGTGTCGACTAAATTAATGCGTCTGATGAGCCAACCTAGTTTAAAGTGAACCAAACCAAAATAAGTATTGCCCAAAAGGAATACTGCACCTACATGGCCAATCCAGCTTATAAAAATTATAAATCATGTAAACGAACTTGAGATAGATAGTATTGGTAGTAATAGTCAATATGAGTACTAACAGTGTGGCCTCTCGTCAGAGGGCATGTCCTGAGGCAGGAGCAGGGTGCGGGGTGCGCGGGGGGAGTGCGCGAGGTCAGGTCTTGGCTCGTTCTGCTGCTCCTCAGCCTGCGCACGCGCTTCCGCCTCGGCCTCGGCCTCCGCTGCAGCTGCCAACGTCTTGACGATGGTCTTCACCTGGAATAAAGAGTCAATTATATACTATTTATCAAATCAAAATCCGGATGTTAACATTTAAATCTACAATTACATCTCTACGCAGTAGGTTTGTATGTTTTCATATAACCTTTTACTATCAGTCTATTATACTCATAAGCTTACAAGAACAAGAATGTTTTTGCATATTTACATATCTTAACATTATTTTTTTCTCAGAAAATCATCAAATGGAGTTAGAAAGTAAACCTTTAAGCCTGGCTTGTCCCCAATGACACAAAATATTACATTCGCCTAAGGGCGCCCGTAAACTTTGCAAAATAACCGATAAAACTATTTCGTTAGTTCTGTCTCCATCGCCAACTTTTATCCAACCAATACGTCTGGCGCATTAATTGGTCAATTTTCTCGAGTCGATGAATATGAATTGAGCTCAAATAAGGCTTTACTACAGTTAATAAGGAATCTTGCCTCCATAGGAACAGGGTTTACATTTTGATGTGCCAGTTCGAGCACTTGTATGGTTTAGTTCGGTGAAACAAACGCAGATTGTACAACTATTTGTCGGCGTCATCCGTGATCGGAGTCGATTGAAAATGGAGTTTGGTGTCGTCTTTGCATTCTCATATACATACATTTGTGTTGTGATGCGTTTGTCGTATCTGTTTGTTTGTAGACACCCTAACACTAACGATATGACCTTCCAAAGTCCCAAGTTTTTATTATCTAAAAAATTTTCATCGCAAATCTTTTGCCGAAAAATAGACTCGCATGGGTATACACAATATTGTACCTATATTAAAGTACGGTGAATAGAGGTAGCTACTTATAATATAGTAATCATGTATTCATATATCACGACCACATCACAACTGTACTACTTAAGTGAACATGTTACTGAAAATATGTTTCCATTTCTAGTTACCGAGATATAAGTAAGTACATACGTTAACGTAGGTATAGGTAGACATTTAGTTAGACGTTTATAAAATACCTTGTCATGTATCTAATTTATATTGACAAAGTTAATTCTCTTTTATCTAGGTAAAATATTATTAGGTATATCAGCTTTATTTGTTCTAGTTTTAATAAGACTTGTAAGCACAACATTTAAGTTCGAGGTCCTGAACAAAGTATTGGTTTGCTGTCGTAACAACATGGAGTCTGTAATTTTACCTAGTGTTAGAGTATAATAGCACCTGCTCCTGAAACGATGTAGTATTTTGTACAAAGATACAACGTTACCTAACTAACTTTTAAGTTACTATTGGAATCAACAGTCTATAGAAAACACCTTTAGTATAATTTTATTAACAGTCCTAACCATATAGTCTTTGCTACGCGATCGATACCGTGCCTAGGTACACCATGATCGGTCAATACGACACTTAATTTCCTGCACTTCTCTCTCTTTGTCGTAGCACAGTCGATTGTTGTGCGATTGACAGATTGACGAGCACATTTCCTTAGCTTATAGTAAGGTGGGCTGATTAGGTACTGTCTACGGTTAGTGTTAGTGACACTTAAGTACCTATACACCGAAACTTCTCTCTGAAAAAAGAAAGGCTAAAATTACTGTTGTTTTGATTGTTGGATCAGGTAAAATTAAAGTAGTTTCGTATCTCGTAATATGCACGTTGTTTCGATTGTTGGATCAGGTAAAATTAAAGTAGTTTCTTATCTCGTAATATGCACCTAATACAAAAACTGGTGGAAGTCCATAACGGAGGATTTTTATACCCGCTTTTGAAAACTGTCAAATGTTGGAACTCTTAGGTACCCAACCTGCATGCTAAAGGTATACAAAAGGTAGAGGTAACATGAATATCCTTGACGAAATAAATATTTAATGAGCCATTACGCTTGCCTGAGTAAGTCATGACACATTTCGTATAAAGGAAACTTTTAAATAATCAACATAGGGCACGTCACACGACCCGTTCACAGTTTACATAAAGGTATATGTATAATGTGCACCAAAACATGTGGTTACTTGACAAGGGGTTAATGTTTGTGTCGGTAGGTATATGTATATGAATGGAAAATACAGCTGCGAGGAAGGAACAATACCTATATGCCTACACGTAACTGAAATCCTGATGAGAAATCTCATTTGTGACTTACTTATCTGATGATTGAGGCTACTGATCTCAATATCACAGTTACAATAGTCACATTCTATGATTTTTTTTACTATTTCTGATATTATCACTAGGATTTGAAATCAGATATTCCTCCCTCCCCAATTTTCCCAATCCCCAACAATCCTCTATTTATTAATCCCCAAAAGGCCGGTAACGCACTTATATCGCCTCTGGTTTTTTTCATATATTTTTTTAATTAATAATATGATATGTTTTTTTTATTTTTGCATATAACCCGTTAACTAGACAAAAGTGAACTACAAAACTTTTATGCTAAATATAAATGAAGAACACATAAAGGACTATTTTGTGTCAAGTCTATCTTGCACTATTGTGCAAGATTGTATTGTGTACCTACCATGCAAGGTGTCTACACGTTAAATACACTATCGATTTGATGAACCGACTAATTGCCATTTAAACAAAGGATACACCTATGGTCAGTTTGCACACGATGGAACAACAATAAGGTTGATGCGTAATTTTTATTTTAATGTCCGTTTGGTAGATTATTTTTAATCATTAGACACGTATTTTTCATTTTCTTACAGAAACGAATACTTTCGACGATATATTGATTTCTAATGTCGCGTGACGTCACTTCTATGTACATTTTATACGTAGAAATGACGTATTAGCCCCCACTCCTAAACTTTGATTCGTTTTATCTAAATATTGTTTTGTTATGCCAAAATAAAAAAATACGTGTGTATTTTTTAATTACGGACTAATTATATTTTAAATTTTCATACCCTGTCATCAATTTACTGAAAAACTTCATGATATCATAATTACTTATGGAGTCATTATTTCTGTATTATTAAACTCCGCAAGTGTATATTCTGACTTCAACTGTACATATTTTTTAGATCACTGAGTATTTGAATGGAAATACACCTAAGAAAGGTATAAGCATAAGCATCTGTCTATAAACAAAGATCTATCCAGACAGACAGTATATGAGTATATACCTAAAGAGTGGTTAGCTACAAGCAAGTCACTAGATACCGCTACATGTAAACAAGTGTCATTCACATTTGATTCAAGGTTCTATAGCACCACTTCATCATTTTCCTCTTAATTAAAACTATCGAAACGCGCACGTTCATTACGCTAAATATTAATTAATTCCTGTTTGTGGTCGCCGTCCTGTGGTAACTGGGCGTTCGACAAATCTATTATGGTAGGATACTGATATCTAGACAATTTAGTAACGATTCATTACCAAACAATGATGTAGGTATGAGTAATACAGACAAAAACATTGACATATTGCACATATTTAGTAATTTACCTTAATTAATAAATACTTACTTACCTAAATGGTAAATAATGTGTCAATGCAGTAGAATACACAAATATTCGACAAATCCAAATTGTGCTTTATTATTATACTATTAAAGTACACGTTTTCTTACCATCTTTTCTCATAACGAGAGGTATAAAAATGTGCATCTAAGCCCTATATTATCTAGACACCAAGAACACAGGACAAAAGTAACTTTAGCTAGACTTCTGTTAATAAGAGCTTAATATGAATATCTCGTACCTCCTGCATGTCATTGTCGATCTGCTGTTCATGGCGCTGGTTGGCGGCGGCGTCCTCGGCGGTACGGTGTATCATGTGCAGCTCCGCAGGGCTCAAGTTCCAGGGCAAGTTCATCTGGACCGCGCCACCGTCCATTGGGATCTTCTGGACCTGCATCAAGGACTACAAAACCTTAATGTCACCGAAAAAATCTACGCACTTTGACTGAAAAATGTAATGAATGTTTGCAAGAGGATTTTTTTAAAGAGTATTGGTATTTAGGTACTTTTTCACAATACACTAGAGATACAGATATTCTATTTATTAGGTACCAATTTCCTACGTAGTACTGTACAGTTATAAATAATACTTTTACGAAAATCATCAATAGGTACCGCTACATGTTCACAAAGGTTTTAACGGTAATAACTTATTCAGCATACATATGCTTACCACCTAGCTTTCAAAAATATAAGAAAATGCTATTAATACCTTCGTGTACCTATCATGCACACAAGTAAATAAATCTTATATAATAAATCTTGATTATCTGAATGTGGTGGTAAGCGTGTGCATAGCGATGTTGTGACTAATACATATGTTAATTGGATAATGACATAGGGAACAAATCAAAAATCGATTAAAATTCTTGAGAATACTTATTTTATATACTACTAGCTTCTGCCCGCGACTTCGTACGCGCAATCCCATTTTCTCCCGTTCCCATAAGATTTTCAGAATGTATAGATAATAGGGTAGATGACTTTTTTTATTTTATTTTCCGTCTGGTAGATTATTTTAAAACATTAGACATGTCAAACAACAACTTTCGGGAATATGTTGATTTGAAATATTGCATGACGTCACTTCTATGTACGCTTTATACCTACGTAGAAATGACGTTTTATCTCACATTCCCTAAACTTTGATTCGTTTATCTTCCTTATATGTTCTGTGGTTTTATCTTTCTCTTTCTTAAAATTTCTCTCGGTCTTTTATATGATAAAATAAAAAATACGTGTCTAATATTTTTGCTAGTACCTAACTGACAAACTAATTAGATTTTCAATTTTCATACCCGTCATCATCCCTATTACATAACAACATAATATCACGCCTTTTATCCCCGAAGGGGTAGGCAGAGGTGCACATTACGGCAATTAATGCCACTGTACCATAATGTAACATTCACTTTTTACTATTTTATGTTGTGAGTCCCATGTAATAGGGGGTGAGCCTATTGCCATATACCGGGCACAATTTCAGACTCAGACCTCTGAGATTTTTTTTTAAAACTCAGTAATACTTTGCCCGACCCGGGAATCGAGCCCGAGACTCTTGCCTGGCACTTGGCCAACGAGGCGGCATCCCTATTACATTATGAAAATTGTTTCGCATGAATTTCTGCAGTCAAAATCGTTGAACTCATACATTTATTTATATTTAGGATATCTAATTGACGCAAATTGCACACATACACATGCAAAATGACCTGTTAATAATTTTATTTACTTTGCACAAACTATTATACATATATAGCTAATCAGCCGACGTACCTACTCAACATGTTCCTTGTTCTAATCATAATTTTAAAACAATTCAACATTTCAACATTTAATATAAACAGGGCATAATTACGAAATAATATTACGTTAAAACTTCAACTATACTTACAATAATAAAAAAAAAATATCTTTACATATGTAATACTTATGATATTTTTTTCTCTTTTTAAATTAGTACATACACATTAATAATATTTTGTTGAAACATTTACATTTGGGTACCTAGGTATTATACATATGTGAAGGTATAACCTGTAAATAGAGTGTAATAAGTTGATGAAGCGAAAGAGGAATGTAGGAATCGTAGCAATTTCCATAGTCTCTGTTTACCCCCATGGGAGATAGGTGAAGTTATGTATGTATGTATAATAGTATAGTCCATATTGTCAAATGTACCTATTAATTTATAACCAGAAAACATGGTCACTAACGTATTATCTATACATAAGAACATATAAATATAAAATTGGAATGTCTATTTGTAATATTGAAATAACCGCTGTTTACTACATGCATATGAATCTACCAAAATAACATTTACGTCTGTTTGTTCTGACTAATCTCTGAAATGGCTGGACCGATTTTGACTGGACTTTTATTAGCGGGAAGCGGATACTAAGGAGTACCTTAGGCTACTTTTTCCTTACTTTTGTAGAGCTTGTACCTATATAATAAATAACGATAAAAGCAATTCTTTCAAAACTATTCGCAGGTCATGTGATCTATGATTAGCACTCGTACATTTGAATGTAATTGCATTACCACACCCTATCTCTGTACTACCTCATCATCGTGGCGTATTAATCTCCTGAAGCAATGTATGTGTGCATGAAGTTACATAAATAAGTTATGTATGCTAACCAATATAGGATTCACATTTGAATGTATCGATTTTAATACAAGCAAACACTGCATACGACTATTTTATATTTGTTCTCCAGTATAAGAACCAAAACACATGATAATAAGTTTGACTTGACATATCTTAATAAGCTTGATAAGCTACTAGACTTGATAAGCTACTATTATATGCAGTTACATTTTAGGGTAAAGAGTTACCTCTGGCTGGTCGAGCTCTTGAGTGGGAGCTGATTGAGGAACGAACTGGTGAAGAACGGTGGATTGCTGTAATAAAGGAAAACGAACATATTTAGTAGCCGATTCCCCTAAGAGACATTTTAAACATAAACACCTCAAATTATTCCCGAAGATTGAGACAAAAACGCTCATTATTAAATGGTGCCTATATTATAAGTACCTTATAATAAGCGACGAAATCCCGATAATACATTGCTTGCCCCAACATTTTTTTGTCTGAACTGCATGCTCAATCATTATCGCAAAAGTTCTCTCAGGCAAAACAAAGTTCTTTAACCTCAACTCTAACCAATTTCAATGTATAATTTCAATGTAAGGTTGTATTTCACTCTTCTACGCTTTTAATATTCATATCAGAAATCCTTGTTTTTTAATCCTGTGGGTATATATCTGAATAAAATCGTTTTAATTTGTCATATCGATAGGTAATAATTTTTAGTAGTTACAAAAATATTTGTTTTCGTCAACTTTATAATAAGTGTCTACTCATAGTTAGTAACTAATTATAGTTAATAGTCTATTTAGTTTCTTATAAATCACTACCAACAATTAGAAATTATAAATATTTATTGATATAAAATACATACAAGTGCCAACTCGTATTTATGTGAAGTTACGATGTGTGTAGTTCGCCATAACACAGCTGATGTATTTATTGTTACATAATTATGATTCTTATCGTGATTCTTGAGTTTATTCGATTGATTCTATGTTGTTGGCAAGTGCCATTATCGAGGCACGTCGGTACATACATAATGATACATTTAAGCTTCCGTGTAACATCATCTCAGTACTCATTACTGAACTTGTGAATTGCTCACTAACGGACTCATTTTTTGTAAGCTCTAAGAAGGTTTTCGACACCGAATTACTTATTAAATTAGCATAGCGAGTTCCATAGTACGATAAAAAAACTATTACTTATTTATTTGACCGAAAATACGATCTAGAATTAAATAATGTAATAATCCAAGCCATGAACTAACTTAAGCATTAAAATTTAACTTAAAATAGGTTGAACGTGCTGAGACAGATAAAATCCTTAATTGCCATGGTATTACAGATAATTAAGTTACGGAATTATTATTCATGTAGTTGTAACTGTTAAAATGTGAACAGCTACTGTTCTCGTCATTAAATAGTACCTAAGTATATACAGCAAAAACTGTCGCATATTTAGAACAGAAAAGTTAATATTTATTTAGCGTTCACAAATATGATTGCTGTAGGTTTTTTATTATTTTTTAATTAACTGTTTTGATTTGCAACTTCATTCTTTGTTTGTGTTGCCAATTGTACCGAATACAAAATTTGTTTAACTGTAGCTAGCCCGGTGTTTCGTCGAGCTCAAACATAGCCTGCTAATGTTTATTTTGTAGTCACAGTTTACGGTACACACTGTTCACTGGACATTCAGTTAATTGTTTTTTTAATACAATTCTGCTGCGAAATGAAAGGTAACCTGTATTTAAATTTCAACTACAACACAATGTTTTTCTGCAAACTAAGCGATGAGTGGATTGAGCGAGTAGACCGTTTTGTGTTCAATCACACATTGAATACCTACTGGTGCTGAATAAGAATCCGTCTCAAAGCACGATTTCTTCAGAAACGAATGTAGTGACTTACTTCATTCTGGTCATGGCCCTGGGGCGGCGGGGGTGGGGGAGGTGCGAAAGGTCCCATGGTCTCTGGTGGTGGCGGCATGTTGTGCGGCGCGGGGATGGCGATCACGCGCTGGACATGGATGCGCATCTCACGGGGTCCACCCATTTGCTCCTCAGAAGCGTCCCAAGGCATCTAAACAAAAATAAAACAGAATCTCGTAAAACGAACTTGTCTCACTTAAAATACACTTATTTTAAAATGATTATCCCATTGAACTCGATGACGTTGGTGGCTGCTGCATATTTTATGAGACCTCTAAATATAACCTCGACGAATGTCCTCTCATAATAGAGTCACCTAATAAAACCGTACCAAGTTATCTCTGATAAGTGCATTAGCATTGTAATATCGAATTATCGGGGAACAAAGGAAAATGGAGGCACGATCGTGCCGGTTATGAATAATGCATGTTCATTGCGCAAACGCAGCGGGAGCGTCACATCTCGGAGAGATAAACACGGGCGATCAGGAAGCAATGACCGCTGACACCCGAGGACGCGCGCGACGCGGCCCGCTCCGAGCTGACCGAGCCCAGACCGTCGCCGCGCGAAACAAAGCCGACGAACTCTTCGCAGCACGCCCCGCACACATTTATGTGTCAAAAATATTTTACATCCAACTCTCAAAAATCGGCTGTCAAAACAAGACATTGTCAAGATAAAATATTGTAGACCTTGGCCTATGTGAGTTCAAATATTCTGATATTAAATATATGCTAAAATGAAACATGAACTATGATCCGGTACCTCTCCATCTATTCAAAATTACAAGCTAAATGTTAGATCAACAAAGGATCTAGCGTAGCAAAAACACAACTATTGTGGACAAAGAAGCTCAACGAACATTGAATTAGGATAACGAATATTAATATTCTAATGATGATGCCGCTTGATGCGGAACGAGACAAAAACACGGAAGCAGCGACGAGCACAGTTTTGTCCATTCATCCTTGTGGCTGGCTGGCTCACCGGCTGGCTCCTAACTCTTTGTGCTGAGACGAGACGGACTACGATTGTAACCATTGTCAGATATGTAATTGATCACAGAAAACCGGGACCGACCACTTCGTTTATCAAACGTGATTGAATTAATTAACGTCATTAATGTCGCTGACGGATTAATTTAAAACTGGCTCTAGCTAACATCTTCGTCTGTATAAGGTCCATAACACATATGGAGTTGTGGTTTTATTTTTTACAGTAGAAACATTTAATGATTCTCTTGTGTCGAAGTATTGCGCAGTTACTGCTAGAAAGACGCGGTCTGTCTCACCACTGCGAGGAAAAAATAGGTATCATGATAGATCTAAATATTAGGTAATAATAAAATAATGGATCGACAAAAAATGCTATATAAAAAATAGACTTTTAAAGGAAGCTACGAGAAATATTGAAAGTAATTTGAAGTCTACCTATTATGTACACATTATAGAAACAGTAGGTAAATGTCATCTATAATAATTAAATCATAGCATCATAGAATTGGGCAATGCGAAGTCGTTAAATCAAGATATTTTTAAGGCAACTGATATCGCAATCCGTAGATAAGGCATCGAGGTGGCTCCGTCCGCGGCTCCTTGCCTTGGCTACTTCCACTCCTTTCGATCCACATACACGACCGCCTATCTGCACGTTAACTATACTTCCGTTTATAATTAAACGATTTCCGTCCTAACCACCGAAACCTGTTCACTCACACATTACCATTTTATATAAATAGAACATATTATATTAATACTAAAAATATGATAATCAAGTCCACTCGTTGTACTTGCGCAGTCAATATTTATTATTTGTTTATACCTAAGATACGATTTGTTTGTTCTGAACATTAATCGGAAGTGTATCATTTAAATTGTTGACATTTAATCCATCCAGTTTCTATGTTTAACGGAAATAGTTGTATCGACGTTGTTGAGACGAAAATAAAAAGTGAAGAGCTATGAATATCGAAAGTATGTAATTGGTAGACAGTGAGCTTTTATACATATACAACTTATCAATCAATTAGCATAATGATTTAGAGCGCATATATTTGAATAAAGTGGTGATGAAGACACAAGGTAGACTGACCACTTTCGTCCGCACAGTTCGAGTGAGATGTGCATATTCAAGTTTTCCCGCAAGCCGTGGAAAATGTATTCTGTTTACCGTAAGTATGTTTACATTATCACGTTTTATCTTTATTCATTTGGCTAACTGAGTGTTATGTAACCACCGGACCAAGACATATCTCGGAAGGCCGACAGCTTGCTCTGTATTTCCTGTACACATATGTACACACAATATATTACACTCCTACTATAGTCTCTACACTCATATGTTTTGGAGACGACCTCGCGTGTTCAGTTCCGGATGCTTTCTATTTGAATTATTGCTGTAATTAATTGTTTATTAGTAAATACTACCGAATAAGGATGAATAAACCAGAAGTTCATAAATATTTTGTCTATAGGAAGGACATTCGAATAAAATTTCGAAATCGATTAAATGCATAATTTAATGTGACATATCGTGTCTAAATCTCGACGTGTAAAGTTTTCTAAACATAATAATATTCAAGTGGGAAGTGGAGCTATCCACTAAACATTGATCCTGATATTGTAGTGCATACACTGTAAGGGAGGTATGTGCTTTTTATCTAGTTTCCAACAACATTGCAGTCAGTCAATGCTCATTATCGTAGAGTAAAGAACGATCGAGCAGCAACTGGTTTGTCGTAATGTGCGAGCGACATTTTATAATACATATTTTTTGTTTTAAATCGCGTAGTCCTCGTACAATGGGATGTTCAATCTTCATTATGCAACTTCCTCATTACTGTAGATTGACAGCTATACAATAACAGGTTATCAGGCAAGGACATTATTTAAAAGGCAACAAAATCATTCATAAGCCACCGGCACGTAATAAGTACGTAATATACGAGAGAAGTAGACAAGCGCAAGACAAAGTACCTGTGTGTACTAGCGCTAAATGTTTACTAGCGGTTACCGGTACATTATCCTTGAACAAATCGTGCTCTATGTCTGTAAATGTGCAATTTGAGGTTATAATCACCACTGGACAAAAATTAAACATTTAGGTTCTACATTTAAATAAGTTACAAAATAAAATACTAAATCTCTATTTTATTCAAGAACAAATTTATAATTAACCTCCTTTTCTTTTAACTCGGTACCACCAAAGACTAATCAAGAACTAATTTTAACCAAATAAAATATAATCGCGATTGATATTGAATCGCATGATAACAATCATCATAAGTCCACTTCAAGTATGTAACGGTCGCCTTGTGCCGGTGAGAACAACATCACTTAATGTTGGTTAATGTAAGTGGAACAAGGTTCATGAGCGTTCGTAGTCACCGGTGCATCAAATTATACGAATAATTGCACCGCGGTTGAGGCGAGCAACCGACGCGGTCGTCTCCTGTGGGGACCACGGGGTCGGCAGAGCGCCGTCCGCAGCCGCCTGCACCTCCGCTACACTACCAAGTTCAAGAGCATCTCGCGCATCACGATCACAAAAAATAAATAAGAACCTACACAAATTGGGCACGAATGGTATCGATCACTGGTAGGTATATATAAAAATGTGTAGTTCGAGCGCGGCTCATACACTCGACACACACCGCATCATGCACGCGTACCTCGCGCTTGTCATCGCGCTCGCGGCGCCCGCGCTCGCTGCCCCCGAACCCGCCCGCCTCGGCTACGAGAGGGAAATACTCTCTAGCAGATACCCAGGTCCTAAGCGACTGGAGTCCTACGTGCTCACAGAGGACTACCTCGCCTCGCAGAAGAACAGGGCGAAACTCATCACCAAGCCGAGACCTATTGAAGATGTAGCCGAAGACAATGTTTTATTACAATCTAATGTGTTAAGTATAGTGAGACCAGCGAAACGCAACGTGGAAAGCCAAGTGAGTGATGCACTTGTTCGGCAGCGACGAGGATACAACCTGGAGAACGTGAGGGTGCCGGCGCGGTACCCGTACCTCCCCGTGCCAAACTATAACCGTTTCCGGCGCTGGGGCTAGTGGCCGACGCCGGGCCGGGTGCTCGTCTCCACCAAATGTCAAGGCTGCGCCGACCGCGCGCGCATCCCCTGCGCATGGACGTGCGCACACCAGATCAGACTGTACTTAAGTTTAATGTTATTTATATGAAGTGGCTGTGATCGAACGCTCAAGTTATGCCGTTACCTGAACGGTTAGAGGCAACGATTGACAGAGTTATAGATTTAATGTGAACTGCACATCGATAGTGTTGTAAAAAATATGTAATAGGAACTATTAGATAATACATGATAATATTTAAAATTACTTTTCGTTTAACTGAAACATGAATCAAAGACAATGGCTTATTTTTGTGCTCTTCAAAACGCTTAAAAACATTAGTGAACTTCCAAATCCCCCTCAGAATATTTAGCAATTTTCAAAATTATAAATTTTGCAATCCTTAAATATTCAGACAATAGTTTATAATAAAATGCATTTAAATAAAATCCGATATTTTGAAACTATGAGTTTCTTATTCAAAAATTAGCAAACATTTGTCTGATAGAACAGTGATCATAGATTCACGTCAGTGAATTAATCTTGGAAGGTCACGTATTAGAAGAACTTTTTGTACTCATTCAATTCAAAACGTTTTATATAATTATATTTGAAACGTGCTACGCAGATATCTACGATACCTACAACATAGGGTACTAAGGTACCAATAACACGATGAAGGCATCGCGTGTAAACACGAACAGTCTGGTACACAGATTATTACAGTAATTAGACCCTATCATTTAGTAATGGGAACAATGAAATATAATGTATGCGAGGTTAAAATGCAGTTGCTACAATCGGTGTCAGCCAGGCCCGTTCTTAGACATTATACTTGATCACTGTCTAGTTTCAGAAGACACGCATGAATTGTTACAATGATTACACGAACAATCGTTACTCAAACCGACTCGATTCGATATAATTAGTTTTATTTCATTAACTTTACATGTCATCACACCGGTGTAAATTTGAAAAGTCATACTTTCTAATCGAAACTTGTTCCTTACTTTAAAATCAAACAAACTATTAAGAAAGTCGTGGCTACGACAAAGAAGATTTTGTTTGTTTGT